CACCATCTCGAACACGGCGTACTCGGCGCTGTAGCTCTCTCCGGGGACCACGCCAGCGCCGCCCACCAGCCCGGCCGCCAGGTTGTCGATGATGTTCCCGTAGAGGTTGGGCATCACCAGGACGTCGAACTGGTACGGGTTCTGCACCAGCTGCGTGGGGGGAAACAGCAGCAGGATGTGAGGCCTCCCCGTACCCAACACGGCTCTGGGCGTGGGGTGCGCAAACGCAGCAGAGCAGGACCAAAACCCCCCTCAAAATGTGCTGGGGAGCAAAGGAGATCCCAGCTGAAAGGGCTCAGGACCAGGCCTGGTGGCTCTGATGGGGGTGAGAGCAGGGATCAGGAAAACCTGCTTCCCTACAAGGGCTGCCGAGCCCTCAAAGGGCCGTGGAGGCCTCAGCCCTGGAGACGTCTTAAAGCCGTGCAGACATGGCCGTGTTTAGTGCTGGACTCGGCAGTTGATGGCTGGGCTCCATGATCCTAAAGGCCTTTTCCAACCTAAATCCGCTGACCCCAAACGCCCCATCCCTGCAGCCAGGGTCCTGCCCGGGACTGGGGCGGCACCACCCCGGGTTCCGGATCCCAGTGGTGCTGGAGCAGAGCAAGGGGCCCTCACCTGCATGCAGCAGTTGTCGATGATCATGGTATCGAACTTGATCTTGGGATACAGCTCCGCCACCTCCTTGCAGCACTGCAGGAAGAGCCCGTCCCCCAGTTTCCTGTGACGGGAGACAAACGGATGGGGCTGCGGGACGGCAGCAAATCACCGCGTCAGCCGGGATCGCACAGCAGCGGCGGGAGCGGAGGGGAAGGGAAGGGGAAGGGAAGCCCAGAGCACCCCACACCCACGGCGCAAAGCGGGGCCCGGGGAGCCCGCAGCACTCACATGATGTTGGCCTTGTGCACGGCCGTCACCTTGGAGCGCCCCTTCTTGGTGGCGAAGTCGAAGGCGAACTTGGCGATGCGCTGCGACTTGGCGCGGGTGATGATCTTCAGGCACTCGATCACCCCCTTGGCGCTCTGGGGGGACGGAGGGGGGAGCAGACATCGCGTGAACCACAGCGCCCCAAAGCACCCAGCACCCTGCCCCTCTGCCCAGCGCCGCACCAGGGCACCCAGCACTGAACTGGGGCACCCAGCACCCTGACCCTCTGCCCAGTACCGCACCAGGGCACCCAGCACTGGACCAGGGCACCCAGCCCCATCACCCAGCACCACACCAGGGCACCCAGTACCACACCAGGG